TCCTGATGAGTGGTAATGCGAGTCTTCCCTACGTGCTATCAGGTGATCGCCTGGTGGTGAATATTTACCATAATTTTGCGAGTTTTTTTCTTTGTAGGCGATATCACAGAGAAAGGCTACCAGAAAAAGAAGGCCAAGATACTAGAAGATTACTTCGCTGCGAAAAATGGAGGTAATTTGTTATTTAAAATAGCACACCTTGCATTGTTGCGTTATATTTGCGCTTATTTGTAAATGAAGCAGACAATTAATACGATTATTTGGAAATTACATGTCTTTGTGCAAAATCCCTAGCGGGTTTGCTCACGCAATGCAATTTAAAGTTAAATGAAAGTGCCATATGGGACAATCATCATTTACCCACGACAGTTGGATACGATACTACCCACTAATATTAGCATTCATCCTGCGAACTAGGATCATTTTCGAGTCATTTGACAAACTTCTGTACACAAACCGAATAATGATGACTGATCGAAGTCTAAAATTCAGCGCTCATCAGATAATCCTTTTTCTTCTCTGTAGCTTCCGACACCCAAACATCGGGAGCCACAAGCTCACATTGTCCCGCTTTGCCGGCTGGAGCCATAAAATTACCCGGAATTTCTGATCTTAGACCGCCATCACCATCTAACCAGTTGTCTCACCAGAGCCCCGCATCCTCTACCGCTAGCGACCTTCAAGCGGTCCAAAACCAGTCCGTACAACCTTCAAATGATCTGACTAGGCGACAGTCCGGTCACCGCTATGTCCGTGATGACGTTCGGTACCGGTCCGGTTAGTACTTTTTGTGGACTTAAGTATTGACAGTGGATTGCTTTCTGCCAATAATTTCCGTACTCACAGCCCAGTGCTCGTTTTTTATTTTTTCTGTAATAGTGCGTTGTGCACTTTTTTTGGAGAGTGAGTGCTCTGTCCGAGCTAGAATAACGTGACTTACTTCCACCTACCTTACCCGTAACAACGTCAAGTCAAGCTAATTATGTATAAGTAGGCTCTGTGGTTGATGCGGTCTGAAGCCTGTACCTAACCCGTGCCACACGCTAATGTCCACAGAGAATGTGAGGCTTGTCAGTATCTAGGTTTGCAAAAAAGCCCTTATAGTTGTACAACTAGTGACTGATGTTTTAGCGTTGTTTTTAGGCTAGACGTCCGAATACGCCCTTGCGATTTATGAAAGCAAGTGGATGGTGCCAATAGGTTAGCTGAGCCTGATGAGCGTTGGCTGAAGTCTGTGCCTCTGGTTCGTTATGGTTTTTGTGAGGGATACATAGGTGTCCGAGCAGGTAAATAATTCTGCCTGTATTGACAGGTAATAACCTGTGTGCATTGCGGTAATCTACGTGCGTAGCGTGCAGATTCAGAGGTCCAGCAGTGGGCCTGAAGCAGAACGGTGTAATTGAAGAAGGCGAGCAGAGTGCATGGTCCCAAAGTTTATGGTTCATTATTAAACGTTTCAACCACTACATCGCACCAGTGCCTCAATGCTCCGAACTGAGGTCATACATGTTTGCCTGGCCCCTATCCCCTACACCTGTTGCTGTTTTTTGTTTTTACATCTGATGATAGATTCTAGTAAGAGATAATAAGCTCAAGTGAATAAAGAAATGATCCCGGTCATCGAATAGCCATCTTACCCTCCTATAGATACACATGGAATGCGAACTTTCGCCTCCATTTGTTCAATGCTCTTCGTCCTTAGAGAAAATTCAATAGGCCGGCGTACCGGGACCAGAAAATTCGACCATAGTTCATTGAGATATCTTCGGAAGTGGTATATTTTTAGGTTGTGCAGGTTGGACTCCCACCCTTTATGTTAAAATTTGGTCGCCTGCGGGAGGGGTCGTGTGCGCTACGCACAGACGGGCTATTTTGCTCGTCAGCCATTTATGCCGAATTCTGGCAACAGATGGCTTATCAACTCGGATAAGTCTAGTACATGAGAAAGGAAGAGGGAGTTGAGTCGCATTTGGGAATTTCGTGCCCGCGGTATTTCAACACACTTTCTCATTATGTATAGCCTGATGCGCTTAGAGTCCTGGTCTGGAAGGGTACCACCGTACGGGCCAGCAGGTTATGATCAAGATGAAGAGCCAGACTGAAAGGACTTTTAAGATGGCCTCTGCGACACTCCCTCTTCAATGCGGTCCTGGCCGTCCTCTTGGTTGTGCGCAGACTATGCGCTTTTAGCATGCGTGTATGGACTGTTTAGCTTTGCTAGTAACTGCGCCTGATCCTGCATCGGCCGTCTAGCTAGCAAGCCTAAGAGAGTGAGGGGCGAGGAAGTCCGCGAGACACTGCGCAGGTCTGATATCACTATCAACTTATTAATTATCAACTCACCAGTCCGTGTCCACTGTGTTAAAGAGCGCACGGTAGGCCTTGTTGTTTGTGGCGGTTGAACGGACGGGTTAAGACTGTCACTCACATTACGGTTTATGTGTGTCTGGCGCAGCCAACTCGGACTCTCAACCCTATTCGCTAGTAGGGTCACCCTAAAATATGTTCGGCGTTAATCGCACTTGCCCAAGATGTCATAGTCTATGTGTTTGCCTTTGATTTCGCTCGAAGATGGTTCTTTGAATTTTTTTCCGTCAATATGTTCCTTCGAAGTACTGGGGAATTCCGAACGATTTTTGTGATCTATTCCACGTACACATAGATCTTCCTTTTCTTCCAGCTCTATAAATAGCCGCAACACTATCACCACGTTCATATCACTTATTCAACAGTGACTTAGTCCTCCTCATAAAGTGGGCGGTCCTCCACAGTTGGATCCGTTCCCACGTAGCATCGATTCCCAGCACGTCAGTTATTTATAGAACTTATGTAAATGACGTATAGTATGAAACATTAACTAAAATTCTGAAATATTAACTTGGTTAGAGAGGATTTTTTTAACAAGAGTACGTCACATGATTCCAAAATATCTTGGTCGCGACAAGATGTCGGCTTCTGGATGCGCATCTTCTCAGCCGCTTGGTCAAATCATGCTCCGCAAACTAACTAAATCATTAGTGTGTTTTCACTGATGTCAGATGCCTTTATGAGTCCAAACATATTTTGTAGGAGGCATTCACAAAAATATCCTTCCAGACATTATGTAGTAAATTATATATTTTGCAAATTTTTCGACTGAACAGCATTTTATTCGGTACCGTCATATCGGCTCGCTTCTCAATTCTCCTTTTGCGGTATACTCTATGGTCCATGCATTTTTCGAAATTTTATGAGCGCAGTATGACATATTAATACAGTTTTAAGATGTACGTTTTTTTAAAATGTAAAATATATGACTTGTTATTTAAAAATCATTGAGCAAAAGCGCAATCATAGGTTGACCAGAAGATTATTCGGAAGTTAAACAGCTCTTTTAAAAGTGTGAGATAACGCTTTCGGTTAAAATCTTTTGAAGAATTGCCGTTCTTGCGCACGTTTTACAGCGAGTTTGTTTTATAAAGGTGGAAAAGTTGTCTGGGAATTCATACAACTTAAGTAATATTTTTTGGCGAGTGTAATGTCCGTATGCGGACCAAAAGCCGCTACCTTGGCGTGATTGAAACAACATAGAACTACGCTACATGATAATGAAAGGAAACCTCACTTTTTAGTTCTGATGACCTTTTAATCTGTTGCAGATATCCGAGAAGAAGCTGTCAAAGAGGCCCTCCGAAATGACCCTGATCTACGCCCTGAAGCCCTGCGACCATCAAGGCGAACATATGTAAACCGAATGTCCGGCGCACCTGAACCAGGGCCCTCCCATTTGCCAGGTACACTCCGATGCAATTTTTTTTAAAAAGCTTTCTGTTTTCGTTCGCCAACAATTGCGATAAACGGTCCTGTTCGAACACAGTATTTTGGGTAGCACCACGCTTACCTGTAAAAACAAACAAATGGTATCAAGTGCTGCCCTACCCGTGGATTTTTTGTTCGAAGAAAGTGCAGTTTCTTGTCGGTGGCCTCTGATCCGCTGATTATGCATAAGTGACTTTGACACTGATGGCCCACCTCTCCTCTGAAATGTCGCTGTTTCTAAGAATGGCTTTATGTACGTGCGTTTTACTCTGTTTAGTGTCAGAAAATTGCCTCTCTGTCCACGAACCTTTGACACCTCAACCGGACTACCATGTTTACCGCCTTTTGTCGGTGCGATGACTGAAAGCCTGTCGGAATCCTTCACTTGTGTAGGGAAGTAGTTCCGCCTTACCATAAAATAGGAGAGAAACACCGACATATCCCTGTCACCCTCTCAAATGTCCGTTCTCGCATCTAGACTTAGCTTCTGAGATTGACTTGCCTATTTTGTTTAAGCCTCCTGATTGGCCTTGAATCACCAACTTTTGCTTCCTTTTACCAGTAGATGCTCAAGAACCACCCGAATTTCCGGGAGGAACTAACGGTTCCTGTTCTTCAAGCCAGGCAGAAGTTCCCTCAAATTCTCCCCCCACTGTAAGTCCGTCCACATTCGACTTTCTTTCATAATATACTCTACGAAGAACCCCTTTCATCGTTATCATCTTCTGATTTTTGCAGCAAACTTCTCTTCAACGTACCGACGTCTTTCATAAAATTTCGGATCCCTTACCCCCAAGACACTTGCCCGATTCGCATCATGCTGGGAATGTTCTAGGCACTCCATCGAAACCTGCGAGTAGCGCTGAAAGCCTGCAGGCCGATCAAAGAGGTGTGGTTACCTCGTTTTTTGCTGCTTTACTATCTTTACTATGCTGTGGGTAGATTGATTTATTTATCCTAAGAAATTTCCAGCACATCCTTTTGCCCTAGGTATTGCCTATGAGGGAAAAACTGCGGTTAGTCAACATTTATAGCTGATTCGCTGCCTCCCGACTGCCCTGCCCAAAGCCCAGA